CAGAACCGGCTCCTCCAGTCCCAGGGTCTCCAGCCTCAGTGTCTCCAGCAGCAGCACCCCCAGACCCAGGGTCTCCAGCAGTAGCACCCTCAGGCTCAGCACCTCCAGCCCCAGCAGCTCCAGTACCTCCAGTACGAGCACCTCCGGGACCAGCACCACTCCCAGCGCCAGTGACGTCAGCAGAAGTACCTCCAGCAGCAGAGCCCCAAGCTCCAGAAGCACGACCCTGACGGCGACCGTACCAGTCGTGCAGCTGCTTTGAGGTGAGAGGCACACGCGGACGAAGGCGGCTACTCCAAGGAGACCGCGCAGCAGCAGACTCAGAACCCTCAGTGCCAGCACCCGCAGCAGCTCCAGAACCTCCAGCGCCAGCACCCTCAGCAGCTCTAGAACCTCCAGCTCCAGCGACACCAGCACCAGCACCTCCAGTAGCTCCAGAACCTCCAGCTCCAGCACCCTCAGCAGCTCCAGAACCTCCAGCAGAAACAACTCCAGTAGCAGAGTCACCAGCTCCAGCGCCTCCCGTAGCAGGGCCCCTAGCTCCAGCAGCGCGACCCTGACGGCCACCGTACCACTCACGCAGCTGCTGTGGGGAGAGAGGTAGTCGACGACGAGAGTGCAGCGGCGAGGTACTAGCGGAGCGACTACAGAGACGGCCGCTCCAGGGAGACTGCTCACCAGACGCCTCAGCGCCCCCAGGTGCAGCACCCCTAGACTCAGTACCCCCAGGCTCAGCACCCCCAGACTCCTCACGCCCAGGCTCAGCACCTCCAGTCTCCACACCCCCAGGCTCCGCACCTCCAGGCTCCGCACCCCCAGGCTCAGCACCCCCAGAAGCAGCACCCCGAGCAGGACCACCCTCAGCAGGACCTGAGTCACCAGTGACCTCAACCGGCGCAGTCAAGGGAGGAGGGTCTACCTGAGACACACCTGAAGGAGCAGGACCGGGAGCGGGGAGGGGGTCTACCTGGGGAGCATCTGGAGCGAGGAAGAGCGGCGGGGGGGGGGGGAGAGGGGCAGTGCGGTAGGGGAAGAGACGGTAAAAGGGAACCGACTCGTCGAACGTGACGTCCTGAGAGGGGAAGACACGGCGCGAGGTGGGGTGGTAAAACTGCCAACCAGGCACGTCAGGGACAAAGCCAAGGAAGACACAGGGAACAGCGCGGGCGGAGAGCTTGTCCGCGGTGGTATCGTGGACAAAGGCACGAGCACCCCAGACCCGGAAACGCGACGCATCGCCAACCTTCCCCGTCCACAGCAGTGTGGGCAAGGTCTCCGGCAAGGAGACACGGGGCCAGAGGTTGAGCTGATGCGCGGCGTACCGGACAGCAAACGGCCACAGAAAATGGGGGCCAGCCACATGGATCATGGAGGTACGAGCGACCTCCATGACTAAGCCAATGCGGCGCTCAGCAACCCCATTCTGCTGCGGAGAGGCCGGAAGCGTGAACGACTGGGTGATGCCGTGCTCCGCACAGAAGGCTGCCAAGAGGTCGGAGGAAAACTCCCCACCTCTGTGCAGACGCAGGACGGGAAACTCCGTCCCGAACCGCTCGCGGAGCTGGAGACGAGCAGCGCGGATCTAAGGGATCAAAACATCAGGGACCTCACCCTTGGTGCGAAAGGGGAAGACCGTGGTATAACGCGTGTAGTCGTCGACGACCAGCAAGAAGTACCGCTCGTGGCCCTGTCCACGGACGCGGGCTGGGCCCCACACGTCCAGGTGGAGAGTTTGCAGGGGAGCCTCTGTGGGAGGGAACGAGGAGTGAGGAGCGGCGCGCTGCCGCTCCTCGACACAGGGAAGACAGGGAGGAGCAGGCGAGGGTGGAAGGGGAGGTAGAACCCTGGGAAGACCAGAGACAAGGACAGGGCGGTGCATGCTGCGAAGGCGCTGCACCGAGGGGTGACCAAGGTGGTGGTGCCAAAGGAGGGTCTGGTGCGACAAGGTGCGACACGAGCAGGGGACCAACAACTGACCTGACGCAGACGCAGACGCAGCTACCTGAGGGGACTCAGTGGTCAGTGTGTACAGGCCCGACCCCGGCTGCCGAGTGAAGGTAGCCAGGTTAAGACCCGTCTGAGCACACGTGCAGTGTGTCACACGCTCGTAGGCAGGGGTGAACTGGTGAACACCCGCGTCCTGGAGCGCAGAACTCGCCACCAAGTTCGTAGAGAACGAGGGGAGGTAAAGACCCGACAGTGTGCCGGACGGGACAGCAGGACAAGGGAGGACAGTGGAGGAGGTCGCTCGGACTGGACCCCCAGAGGGGTCTGCCAGGGAGACTGGAACCGGCCGACTGAGCGGCGTGAGGGTGGTGCTGTCGCGAAAGAAGGAGCGAGAAGCACCAGAGTCAATTGTGAAGGTGTACAAGGCCTCAGCATGCGCAGTACCAGAGAGAGCAGACTTACCAGCACCTGGAGCAGGAGACACACTAGCCCCTAGAGCAGCAGCCTCACCAGCACCTAGAGCAGCAGGCTCTATTCATGGGTCAGGCGGTACGCACAGGTAACAGGCACGGTCAGCACTAGTAGGCAATGCATACATGGCAGTGAGAATAGCATAATAGTCAAGAGCAAATATATCTACCCTCTGCCCAAGCAGCTCCACCCAGTCGGGGAGCTCAGCCTCGTCGCCAAACTCGGCACGCCAGGCGTCGCTCAGACGGGCGAAGCAGCGGGACTGGGTGTGACTAAGCGTCCCGCAAGCCTGACCAGTCTGAGCACCAGTGCGAATGACGTACGGGCAGCGAACGGTACTCAGAGACCCTCTACTCTGAGCGTACCACTCACGAAGCTGCTCGGGCGTGAGAGACTCGCGCGGACGTCGCTGGAGCTGCATCTGGCCACCGCCAGTAGCAGCAGTAGCAGCAGTAACAGCAGTAGCAGCAGAAGTAGCGCGACCACCCCTACAACCCCAACCAGCGTACCACTCACGAAGCTGCTGGGGCGGGAAAGACTCGCGTGGACATTGCTGGAGCAGCATCTGGCCACCGCCAGTAGCAGCAGTAGCAATAGCAGTAGCCTAGCAGTAGTAACAGAAGTAGCAGCAGTAGCAGCACGGGCAGGGCAGGCGCGGCAGGCAGGCAGGCAGACAGGCAGGCAGGCAGACAGGCAGGCAGGCAGGCAGGCAGGCAGGCAGATGGCGCGGCAGCGCGTTAACAAGGCAGGTGCTCACCAGTGGCGGGAAGAGCAGGCGCTTGCCGGGCGAGCAGGGCCGGCGCTCGGCGGGCGGCTGCACGGGGTCCAGGGGCTGCGTCGCGGGTCCAGGGGCGGCGTCGCGGGGTCCAGGGGCGGCTGCACGGAGTCCAGGGGCGGCTGCACCAGGGGCGGCTACTACAGGGGCCGGGGGCGGCTGCTCGGGGTCCAGGGGCGGCTGCTCCAGGGGCGGCTGCTCGGGGTCCAGGGGCAGCTGCTCCAGGGGCGGCTGCTGCAGGGGCCAGGGGCGGCTGCTCTGGGTCCAGGGGCGGTTGCTCGAGGGTCCAGGGGCGGCTGCACCAGGGGCGGCTGCTTCAGGGGCCAGGGGCGGCTGCTCGGGGTCCAGGGGCGGCTGCTCCAGGGGCGGCTGCTGCAGGGGCCAGGGGCGGCTGCTCTGGGTCCAGGGGCGGCTGCTCGAGGGTCCAGGGGCGGCTGCACCAGGGGCGGCTGCTTCAGGGGCCAGGGGCGGCTGCTCGGCGTCCAGGGGCGGCTGCTGCAGGGGCCAGGGGCGGCTGCTCTGGGTCCAGGGGCGGCTGCTCGAGGGTCAAGGGGCGGCTGCACCAGGGGCGGCTGCTTCAGGGGCCAGGGGCGGCTGCTCGGGGTCCAGGGGCGGCTGCTGCAGGGGCCAGGGGCGGCTGCTCTGGGTCCAGGGGCGGCTGCTCGAGGGTCCAGGGGCGGCTGCACCAGGGGCGGCTGCTCGGGGTCCAGGGGCTGTTGCTCGGGGGCCAGGGGCGGCTGCTCTGGGTCCAGGGGCGGCTGCTCCAGGGGCGGCGTAGCTGGTGCAGGGCAGCGCGCGGGTCCCACAGGCGCCGTGACGGGCGACGGGGGGCAGCGCTCCGTCACCGGAGGAGGCGACGCGCGGGGCCGGCGACAGGCTGCGCGGGCGGTTGACGTAGCGCGCGGGGCCGAAAACGGGCTACGCGGGCGGCGGACGCGGCGCGCAGGGCCTAAGCGGGCTGCGCGCGGGCAGCTTACGCGACGCGCGGGCCGGCGGCAGGCTGCGCGGGCGGCTGACGTGGCGCGCGGGCACGGGCCTAAACGGGCTGCGCGCGGGCTGCTTAAGCGGCGCGCGCGGGAAAAAAAAGGGCCGCGCGCGTGCAGCCGAGGCACGCGCGGGCAGCAGGCAAGGCAGGTGAAGTAACGTGGTAACGGGTGGGCCCTTATCTTAGGTCCTAAAGACCTCTAGGCTCTAGATACCATCTTAGAAACTATAGAAGAAAAGGTTGATGCATTAGGTCAAAGTTGGGGTACAAGACTAGGGTGTCGAGAAGTTTTCTGTACCCCCTAAGGCTAGCCCCAATATAGCCTAGATAATAACATGCATATATTTTGACATATTCAGCATGAACGGAACTTCCCAAGGCACGCTCGTCGCCTCGCACAACCAGCCCGCTAAAACCAAACACTGTAGCAAGTTCTTCCTCTAATGAGGTGGTCTAAAATGAGGGTGCATTCCAGGTTTGGCCACTGGCAACAAATGCTGACTGACTGCAACAACTGTCAATCCGTACCGTACCAGCAATGTACCGTTACCTACCACCCATGGAGGCTCACTGACAGTGGCATATAAAGTCAGTCAGGTCAAAATATTTGCCTTCAGCATACAGATATTCCCTTACCCGACCGTAATAGCTAGGGTACGGTATCATTCAAACTCTTCGAGCACCCAAAACAACGACGGTGTACAGTCTGAGTAACTGTCTAACCTAGTTCAAAATTACTCAAGCAGAGTATCCAGTCAATGCTGATTGCACACGTGCAAGCTACTCCCGAGAGCTTGTATAAGAATACTGGAATACACGTCATCAGTTCTTACGCCCTTCCACGAGAATTACATGGTAACCGTGCCTGTAAGGGGGGTATGCGATTGTATGCAACGAGGCCATGATGCGAGGGAAAGAGAGACCAGGAAAAGAACATAAAGCAGCAAATTAAGGGAGCAGTGAAGAGAGAAATTTCCCCTCACAAACGATGGGCAGCACAGCACAGCGGCTCTGGGAAACAAATGTAGAAGTGGTACAGTAGTATTGAACCAAACACCGTGCTTTTCCCCAAAAGACAACATTTGTACCCCTTGCTCCATCCACTGGCCTGCCACCCAGATAGGCAAGGCCTCAGCAGCCCACCTGTTCGTTACTGATCCATCCACTGGCCTGCCACCCAGATAGGCAAGGCCTCAGCAGCCCACCTGTTCGTTACTGATCCATCCACTGGCCTGCCACCCAGATACGTAATCCCTGTTGACTTGACTCACGTTGACTTGAAGGGTGCTGACGTGGCGCCAATGGGCGTGGCGAAGGCAACGTCCTGGAAAGGCCCGGCCATCTTGCCCCGGGGGAACCAGCCCAAATCGCCGCCCTTCTTGCCCGATGGACACTCTGAATAGGCTTGGGCTATCTGCAAAGGGGGGGGAGGGGAGAGGGGGAGGGGGGAGGGGAGGGGGGAAGGGGGAGGGGAGGGGGGAAGGGGGAAGGGAGGCGAGGAGAAGGGGAGCCTTTAGGCCAGCAACATCTGAACACCTCCCATCGCATTCAACCAACTGGAACCGCCCAGCTCACCTCGTTCCAAAAAAACACTCTGATAATCATCCATCTTCCTCCTCCCCTCCCCCCCCCAAGCAACCGCTTGCACAGCACCCCACCACCCCCACCTAACCACCGTTCCCTCTGGTCCCACCTTTTGCACCACACCACCATACCCCACCACACTGCACCACACCCACCGTACCCACACATCCACACTCCAGACTCACTTCGCCGAACTTGGCGGGCGGCACCTTATCCCCCGCGTCCAGCCACCCCTCCTGCAGCTTCTTGTACGCCTCGTTGATCTTCCCCTGCTTCTCGCACAGTATGTGGCGCGCTGGGGGGGGAGAGAGGGGGGAGGGGCAGAGGGAGAGGGGGAGAGGGAGGGGGAGGTGGTAGAGGAGAGGGGGAAGGAGAGAAGGAAGAGGTGGATGGGGAGGGGGACGGGAGAAAGTGGGTGGAATGCGGGGGAAAGGGGAATTGCGGGGGAGCAGAGGGGGTTGAAAGCAGCAGAGAGCATGAATGGGTGGCAGAAAAGCAGCGGAAACGGTGCCACCCCTCCTGCAGCTTCTTGTACGCCTCGTTGATCTTCCCCTGCTTCTCGCACAGTATGTGGCGCGCTTTGGGGGCGATAGGGGGGAGTGGGAGGGGGGAGAGTGTAAAGGAGGTGGAAAGGGGAAGGAAAGGCGGAGGAAAGGGAACGGGGAAGGGAAGGGGGAGGGGGGAAGGGACGCAAGGCGACGACAAGGACGCTGGGTGCCCACACGGCAGTGAATTTGACTTGGTTGAGTCGAGTAAAGAGAGCAAACTAAAATGGATGCACTCTTTAGAGCTCTTGCGATAGTGCTCTTGATCGAGAAAGGCAGGCTACGATGTATGTAGTCGTTGTGTGCGGATCGCCCTTCGCTAGTCAACGTAACCCAGCGACGGAACACCGCGAGGTGTGTCGCTGAGCGAATCACCCGAAAAAGAACCCGAATTCCTTCCGAAATCGCAAAGAAGAAACTTTGAAGGGATGCTTACAACGTACCTTTAACGTACGTGCAAGTACCGAGCTCGCCCTTTCCGCCGCCCTTTCCGCCTTTCCCCTTGTCGTCGCCGCCGCCGCCTCCCCCGGCCTTGCCCTTACCCTTGGGCGGCATTGGCGCGCAGGGACTCGCACCGCACGAAAGGAATGCGAAGGCTATGCGACGTTCGCGAGTGCCGCGAGCGACTGAACGATATGCGGACTAGCGAGGAACACGACTGGGAGGGCAGCAGGAACCGGGATTTGGGAAAAAATAACTTGGCTTAGTGAAGGGGAAGGTTAGCTGGAAGGGAAGTAAGGGACCGTGGGATCTAGAGACACTTCACCAATCGGTTAATTTGTGTGCGGTTGAATCAGGTGTTGCTAGATCGTCCACGGTTTTAGAAGTTTATACAGCGTTGAGATGAGGTTCTGAGCAGTTATGAAACTGAACAGCACACAAACTTGCAAATGCAAACTGGAAGCAAACTAAAGTGTACGCAAGTATATGCGTTTCTTGAAGTAACATTTTACTAGTCATATGGAAGGCGCTTGTTACGTGTACAAATTGTGGTTTCATCAGCCGGGCAGGAGAAAATGCTTCCAGAAGGTTTTTTGTCCCTCCTGACCACCCACGCTTTGCCTCGCTCGTGGCACACGCAGCAGCAAGGGGCGAATAGCAGCGGGGGAAGAAAGTGAGGGCGTGGATTGTAGCTATAGGCGTCCGCGCTGCTCTTCGCTCGCTTTTAATCGCCGGATTGTCCGATCGTCGCCGGATCGCCGTTGTGTGAAGTCGTGATGGGTTTGCCGTGTACTTGATTCGGACGCCGTGCTGTGCTCGGTCCGTAACCGCACGATCTGAGAAGTTCACTCTCTTTCCGATCTCGACCGTCCATTTGTCGCGATGAGATTTGCGGCGCGAGATCTGCTTCGGGCAGCATGCCGGCCCCTCCGGGTTGCATCCGTCCCCGAACCTCCGGCTCGCGCCTTCCTCCCGACCCGCCACGCCCTCTCGCCCGCGCTCGGCGGCGCCGTTGGCGGCGGTGTTCGCGGCGCCAGTGGCGGCGCAGGTTCAGACATCCTTCCCGCCGCCGCCGCTGCCACGATCTGCTACCAACCGAGGCAACATCAGCAGCAACACCACCACCACCACCACCTCGACCACCACCACCACCACCACTACTACCCCCACCAGGACTGTCACTCTCGTCATAATCACCTTCACCACAGCGCGCAATGCTCGCAGTCGCTCGTAGTTTCTCGTTCCTCCTCCTCTCCCTCCTCTCCTTCCTCTCCCTCCTCTCCCTCCTCTACCTTCTTCCCCTCGTTCTCCTCCCATCCCATCCTCTCTACGGCTGCCGCTGCTGCCGCTGCTGCTCCCGCCGGCCTCCTCTCTTCCCATGCGCGTCAGTCCCTGGTACCGCATTCGGCGCCGCATTTTCCGCCGCATCGCCCGGCGGCCATGGCGACGCAGGCGCCTAGAGGTCCCGTGCAGACGCAGCCCCCGCGAGGGCCGGTGCACATGCAGCAGCAGGTGCGGGAAGGGTATAATGGCCGGTGCAAGAGAGGTATAGCGGCAGGTGCGCGAAGGGGGATATAGTATCAATGCTGGTGCGAGAGAGGGAATTGCGTTTCGATAGCAGGTGCGGGAGGGCATGCAGCAGCAAGTGCGCGAGGAGGTGTTACATTGAAAGGGGTTTGGAGGGGTTTGCGCGAAAGGGTAGTGAGGGGGGACGAGAATACCCGTCTGGTTTCGAGGCGACTCGAAAGGGGTTTTGACGAGCTTTGGCTGGATTTAGAGGGGTTTGGATTGGTTGGAGGCGCCCTTTTCCACTCTCCTCTCCCCCTCTTTCCGATCTCCCCGCCCCTCCCACTCCCCTCTCTCCCAGCGACTCTTATTGCCGGCATTCTAGAAACACTCATCGCTCCCACTTGCCAATGTATCCCTCCCCTCTTCCCCCTCTCCCCTCTCCCCTCCAATTCCCCCCTTCCCCAGGCTCGTCTGCGCGTGTATCTGCAGAGCCCGGGGGTGATAGGTGACCCCTACCGCCCTCTTCCGCCAATGCCCTTCCTTACCAGGTGACCCCTACCGCCCTCTTCCGCCAATGCCCTTCCTTACCAGGTGAACCCACCGCCCCCTCCGCCCCCGCCTCCGCCGCCGCGCCGCCGCCGCCACCGCTGCTGCTGCAGCTGCTGTCACTCCTGCCCCATTCGTCCGTCCCCTTTCGCCTGTCCCTTAGCGCCTGTATTCCCTCCCACACCCTCTCTCCCTTCAACCTCCCACCTTGTTCCCCCTTGTCATGCTCTTTTGCAAGGCTGCACTGGAAGGAGAGCCTCTGATTTGCCTCCTTTCCCGTCACCTCGAAAGCCGCATGCAAAGTTGCTAATCTGATTCCGTCTCCTCCCCACCTCCAAGCTTTTTCTTCCGGGCTCGCCTCTTCCCCTGCTTGCTTCCCCCGCGCCCCGTACCATCCCGTACCCTCACTGATCCTCCCTGAACCTCCCTGCTCCCCCCCAGCTGGTTCACAAAGGCGGGGTGGAAGAGACGCTAGGTCAAGTGGAGTGATGCGGTGAGGCTCAAATCACGTGTGGCGTGCGGTGGGATGGGCTGAACCCTCGCCTCTTCCCTGCGTTTCCCTCGCCCCTTACCCTCCCGTACCCTCCCTGAACCTCCCTGCCCCCCCAGCTGGTTCACAAAGGCGGGGTGGAAGAGACGCTGGGTCAAGTGGAGTGATGCGGTGAGGAACACGTGTGGCGTGCGGTGGGATTGGGTGGGATGGGGTGGGATGGGGTGGGATGGGGTGGGGTGGGATGGTGGTGTGGGGTGGGATGGGATGGGGTGGCGTGATGTGGTAAGGTGTGGCATCGCATGGCATGGCATGGCATGGCATGGCATGGTAGCCAGCTCTACCAGATGTAGCCATTGCCCTTTGCTTCTCTCTCTTTAGATCATCCCTTGTCGACTGCCTTTCGTTTCTTCTCTCCGCACCGATCGCTACCACACCCACCACACCACCATACCCCCATGCAATGCACCCTTTTCAGAGTTCCTTGTTAAAAGCGTGATTCAGAATACATTGTTCTCGGCCCACCTGTCTCTTGCGCCGCCATCCATACATACTCCTCTCCTCCTTTCCCCCTCTCCCTTCTCCCGTTTCCCCCTCTCCTTTCTCCCTTTTTCCCCTCTCCCTTCTCCCTTTTCCCCTCTCCCTTCTCCTTTTTCCGCTCTCCCTTCTCCCGAATCACCATAGCTAGTTTCATTTCAACACACTCAAATCTCCCCTCTTCCCACTCCCATCTCCCCTATCCCTCCTTCTTTTCTCTCCTTCCCCTCTTCTCCCTTCCTCCCCTCCCCATCCCACCTCCTCCTCGTCTCCAGCTGAAGACAAGGTACACGATTGCTATGCTGAGGCGCCACAAAAGGGGAATTCTTTTGCACAGGTTCTGCTGGGGGCTGGCATGTATTTATCCATTTCAGCTTTCTTTCCCGTTCCCCTCTTCCCCCCTTTCCCTCCCTTCTCCAGCTGAAGACAGGGTACACGATTGCTATGCTGAGGCGTCACAACAGGGGATACTCCCGGCACGGGCTTTACCGGGAGCTTGCCGGCACATACAAACAGGTGCTGTATGTCCCGCTGTGCTAGGTGTGATGCTACATGTCATGCAGCGTTCCATGCCATGCCATGCCATGCCATGCCATGTCTGCATCAAACGGAGTTCATTCTTCACCATGGTTTGTCTGCTGTTCAGTGGTCATTTCTCCATTTTTCTCCCTCCGTCTCTCCCTCCCCCCTCTCTCCCTCCCTCCCTCCCTCCCTCCCTCCCTCCCTCCCTCCCTCCCTCCCTCCCTCCCTCCCTCCCTCCCTCCCCCCCCCCTACATCCCTCCCTCTCTCCCACCTGCCCTCTATCCGTCGTGTGTCACGCAGATCAATCGTGCCATTGCAGCAGATGATCGCACCGCATTGCGGCATCTGGTCACCGAGAGCGCCTTCACGGTACGTTCTTTCTTGAGTCATCTTCATCTTTGAGACACTGTTTGAGGCGCCTTAAAGGTCAAACGGCATTGCAGCATTTGGTCACCGAGAGCGCCTTCACGGTACTTTCTTTCTTGAGCCGCCTCAATCTTTTCACACAATGTTTGAGGCGCCTAGAAAGATTGAGATGACTTTTGAGGCGCCTCAACAATGGCACATCTTTGCAGCATCTGGTCACAGAGAGCGCCTTTTCTTTTGAGTCGACTTAAAAGTCAGCATCTGGTCACAGAGAGCGCCTTCTCTGTATGCTGCACCATCAGCTTAACCCCCACCCACCCAACTCACCCTCTTCACTATTCCTCCATCTCTCCAGTCACTGAAGAGTTCCCTCAAGCATCGGGCTGAGAGCGGCATAGCTCAGGTGGAGTGGCACCTCGTGGGGACGTCTACGGCAGCAGCAAGGCCGTTGTTCCTGCTAAGTCAGCAATAAAGTCATTTCTTTCCTCCCCTCTCTCTCCAGTCACTGAAGAGTTCGCTCAAGCATCGGGCTGAGAGTGGCATAGCCCGGGTGGACTGGCACCTGGTGGGGACGTCTGAAGGAAACAGCAAGGCCGTTGTTCCATCCAGCAACAAGCCTCCCCTTTCGTTTAAGACCTTGCAAGCACGCTTGGTGCGTGGGTGTGTAGTCTATGTGGGTCTCTTGTCAGCTTTTTTTTTTTCATAAATTTTTATAACCTGTTTTGGTCCCCCCTGCGTGCATCCCCCCCACCCCCTCTTTTTTCCCCTTGTTTCTTAATGTGGCTCGGTCTCTTCTCTTCCCCCCACATGCTTCATCCCACACCATACTCCCCTCTTTCTACGCCGCTCTCCCCAACCCCTTTCGCCCCTCAATACGTCCAACCCGTATATCGTGGTAATCTTGAGATGTGCTAAATCTGCCTCTTTGGTTGTACTGTGTGGGTGGGACTATGCTGTGACTTGTGTTTCCCTGTCAGATTTCGCTTGAGAAGAGCAAACCAGAGAATGGCTTCGTGCAGCTCACTCTTGAAATTAAGAGCAAGCAGGTGAGGCTCTTCTTTCCCACATCATTGACTTTCATCCCTGATGCACGCCTTCTTCTTTTCCCTCCTCCCTGCCCCGTTGTTCTGTTATCACCTGTGTTCACTTGTCCGTCTCATATTCCTCCTCCCTACAACAATGCCTCTATCTGCCTGTTTTTTTTTTTGCTTCATGTGAACCTCTTGCCTACAGCGCATTGCGGCATATGATAAGCGCAAGAAGCTGATCAGTGGGGATCCAGATGCTGAGGTGAGTGTCCTTTTTTGCCACTTTTATAATGCCTGTAAGCTCAAGATCGGTCTAGCACGAGCAGAATGCTATGCTGCAATTCGCTGATTGTGTTGATTTGCACCAAATTTGCCAATGACCATGCTGTGTTATCCACCTGTCATGTACTTGCTTGCTTGACCTAATTCTTCGTTTTTCATTACACCACCCAATGCTCGCTATCAGTTGACCATTACTGACTGGCTTTTTCTTAACTTTTTTTACCGTAATTTATGCATACATCAGGTCGATGTGAAGGACATCTGGGTGTTTGAGCGACACATGCTGCACCCAGAGCTCCCATGGAGGCTGTGTGGGCAGCTGGTAGCACCCCCCCCACAAGCAGACAAATCTGGAAAGCAAAATCAAGCTGCTGCTAGCAGTGGCAGGCGATAGTGGCAGGGGGTCATCCTAGATCAAATACGGTATCCAATTTTGTGTTGACATGGAGTGGCATTGTTGCAGCTGGCAACTCACTGCCTGGTCTGATGGAAATAACAACCAGGCCCCTAGATTCGTTTTGAGGTAGTCTGAGGCCTCAGAGTACACCCCTCCTGGAACTCTGTCTGTCAGAGGTGCCTCAAAAGTTTAGTCTGAAAATTCAGACAGGCACAATTTTTTTTGTCTGAACTGTCAGAGTTACTTCAAATTTTAAGATGTTCATGCACTTTCGTAAAAGCAGTTATAATAGCATTGAAGCTGATTACAGCATACCATACCAACGCATCAGGCAACGTGCTCGTGCTCGTGCATCGCCTCTGCTCATGTCGGCGGCGTTCCGGTGTTTTTGTCACATGCAGCGCATGGTTGTTTCTGCTCTGCTGCTGATCTCATTTCGTTTTGTCGTGTGTGTGATTACCGTTCTGTACCCATTTTCTCGCATGTGTGCCGATTTTGTCAGTTTTGGATTTGCTTTTCAAGCGATGCGATCGTTCACCCGATCTGTATCAGGTGGGCCAAGTGCCACGCGTGACGCGACACCCTCGGCCCGAATAGAGCACCCGATCTGTATCAGGTGGGCCAAGTGCCACGCGACACCCTCGGCCCGAGTAGAGCACCCGATCTGTATCAGGTGGGCCAAGTGCCACGCAGCTGAGCTGGCAGCAGGCAGAAACTGTTGCTTGGCGTGGCATGTGAGCATCAGACAGTGCCACACGAAACTTTCACTACGAATCAGGAACGTCGCAATTCACACCAGTGCGTGTTGCATATGCTTTTACAGCGAATCAGCATCAAAGTCGCCTATTCTTTACAGTACATAAGCGATAACTTACATGTGACAAGATTTTGTCTTCAGAAATCTCATAATCACACAACCATTTCCTCAGCGTTAACTGGGAGATATTCGCGACGAACGAGTGTATTTGGATGTCCCAGCTGTCGAAGTGAGTGTTGCTCACGTCTTGGCACTCCACTGCCATCTCGGAAGTGGGCATATCGGAAGGAAACTTCCAGGAAACTTCGCTCCGATAAGCGCGCAGAGTGTACCCCCGATACAAGTCTGAGGCTCAGCCTACCCTAGTAAAATTAGGCTGAAATTTCAGACAACTCATAAGAAAAAACTCTGGAAAATCAGACAAGGTACATAAATAAATTCTTTGAGTTCAGACTAGGTACAAAAAAAAAGTCTGAACGGACTCTGATTCAGACTCCAAAGTCTGATATCTAGGGCACTGATAACAACCTGAGCATGTTGTCTAATAAACTCCTGCCTCCCACCTTCACTAAGTGCACCTGACATGTCATTTGAAGGTACACCTTCAGTTCCTGAATGTCACACACTCACAGGTAGGGTTTTGCTGTGTACCATACCCTTCCAAACGTAGGCTGTAGTGAATCATCAATTGCTATTGCTCTATTGACAAATACAGCATGATACAAATAACAACACGCCAGCTAATCCACTTCTCTGGTTGTCACTATGATGCTGCGCGATACAACAATGCTCCATCACATTCATTGTTTACTTGGCTACCTTCGCGTTTGCTTCGAAGACATACTTGATCACAGACGCCTTGATGTCGAGAAGCTCCGGAAATTCCGCCTTCAGCTTTGATGCATCAAGCTCGTTATTGCTGCGAGCAGCCACAATGACCTTCGCCTGCGTGACAATAGGAACGCAGTCATTAGTTGTTTAGTTAACGGCAACACCACGGACGAGATATGCAGCGGCGAAGTGCGTCGTTCTCACCTGATCCTCGATGGTGAAATTGGTGTACGTGAACGCAGGATCGATGTACTTCTTGTAAAGGTCGAGAATCTCGTTGTGGCTGATCACTCCAGGGTTTGTGAAGTTCCAGATCCCTGTCAGGTTTCGTTTCGCCATCTCAATCGCGATTGGTAAAAGTTCATCAAGCACCGTCATGGAGTTCGGAATGTTCACGACCTGCACAGCATCCAGGTAAGTCAGTCCTTATTGTGAGAGGAGATCACGAAACGGGAAGGCTTTACGGTGAGTCATATTACAAAAACATTTCGCCTTACCTTCTGGTAGCGGGTGATCTTGGTGATGAAGTTTCTTGGATTGGACAAGTCGGAAGAGATGGGCATGCGAACCCGCAGAGTGCAGACGTTGTCATACGATTTCAGCAGCTCCTCCACCTGCTCACACCCAGAAAAATGTCAGGGCCGTAACAACGCGTAATCATGCATGAGTGATGTGCAGGAGCCTCCGCTCAGAACCTACCATTCCTTTGGTCCTAGAGTAGAAGGATCCAAAGAAATTTGCGGAATCTGTCTCCTTGAAGCCAACCCCACTTCCCGTCGGATGAGATTTGTCGTACTCGAAGATGCAGCCAGTTGCAAAGTTCACTACCAGAGCTCCATGGTTCCTGCACAAAATAATCGTCTCGATTGTTAGAGATAGTAGACAAGTGGATTAAAAAAAGCTGGACAAACGGGATCCACTTTACACACCTTGCGACATCAGCGAGGGTCAAAACACCAACAACGTTTGCTCGAATCGTTTCAACCTGATGGCTCTCGCACCAGTCCACGTTCGGACGGCCTGTAACTCCTGCTGCGTTGAAGATGTGCGTTGGCTCAGCCCGAAGGATGTCCGCTTCAATTGCACGCCGGTCTTCCAGTCTCGCGAGGCCATATTCAAACGGAATCCCCTTCTCCTTGCACAAATTTCCCAGCAGGCCACCGATCCATCCAGTTTTACCGTAAATCAGAAACTTCGTCTCCTTGACTTGACAATCTGGAGCACCGGATTCTTCAAGTGAATCGGGATTTGATGACGACCTTCCGATGCTGTACCCTGTGAGCATCCTGGGGTGCGGTACAAGAGCACCAGAGATGTCTCCCCAATATCCAACGTTGTTCTTGTACCAATTGAGAGTCTTCTTGAGCCCTACCTCCCACGAAGTTCTCTCTTCCCAGCCAAGAGACTTGAGCTTCTGATCGTTCAAGTAGTATCTTTGGTCGTTGAATGGCCTATTCTCAACAAACTTGACAACCTGCTCTGGGTCTAGGCCAACCATTCGGCAAATATCCCGAGCGACGTCGATGACACGCCTTTCCTTGCGTGTCCCAATGTTGTACACTTCACCAACAGTACCCTGCAAATACGGTTCAGAAGATTTAGTACACCGCAAAAAAAATGAAGCAACGCAACAAGCAATTAAGAGATCTGGAAATTCATCAGTCAATTACCTTGTGAAGGACCACATCGAATGCCTCGGCAACATCCTCGCAATACAAATAGCTTCTGACGTTGGAGCCGTCTCCATGGATCGGCAAGGGTTTCCCTTGCATGGCGAGGAGAAGGAACTTGGGGATGAGCTTCTCGGGGAACTGGTTCGGGCCGTAAACGTTGTTTCCTCGGGTGGTGATGCAGGGAATATTGTAGGACTGACCGTAGGCCATTACAAGCATTTCCGCTCCAGCCTTGGTGGCGGAGTACGGATTTGTTGGAAGCAGTTGAGACCCCTCATGGTTACCCACAAGTGAGTCCAGGCTTGTCTCTCCGTACACCTCGTCGGTGCTGACGTGGATGAAACGTTTGATGGTTCCAGCAACCTTGCAGGCCTCGAGGAGGACGTGCGTTCCGTAGATGTTGTTCTTGGTGAACTCAAAGCTGTTGCCGAACGAGTTGTCGACATGCGTCTGAGCTGCAAAGTGCATGATGGTGTCGATGCCTTCCGTCAGGAGGAGGTAGTTCACAAGATCCGCACTTGCAATGTCTCCCTTGACAAACTTGAAGTTCGGAGATGACCTGCATGGTTCCAGGTTTCTCAAGCTTGAGCAGTAGTCCAGCTTATCCAGCACGACGACCTTGTACTGAGGATAGAAACGAACAATTCTGTTAGCAACATGTGAAGCAATGAAACCAGCAGCTCCAGTGATAAGAATGGCCTTCGGAGTGTAAGTCGCCATGGTGTGTAAATTGGCCGGCCTAGTCCGTCTGAGCAGGTTCAGGAATTACAAGAGCGGGAGTCACCAGAATTCACGAATCATTCTTCAGTTGAGTATGGAAGATGTAGTGAGCTAGCAAAGTGGCTGCTATTTCAAGGAGTAGCGTCATGCAACCTCAAGGTTCGCCTCGCCACGCCCACGCGCCTCGATGTTGGCTTCACAACCAGCATCTGGGACATCGGAAAAGCCCGGCGATATTCAATAAACCAGGCGATACACTTCAGTACATCATTTATGTGAGCTTAGAGAAAGTGGATGAGAACTCAGAGTGAAACAAAGTATAAATACATATGCCTTAACTCGGAGGCAGGCATCTTGGCAAAGTGGCCTTGTACATGACTCTTTATAAGTAGCCACCATCTTTTCTATCAAGAGAACAAAACTTAGAGAAAGTGACAAGAGCATCGTGCTTCGTTTAACCACGCTCCGCGTGTCTATGGAAAGAGAACTCGTTTTAGCATTTGATAGTAGATACGATACATGGCATCCCATGCATGCATTTGAAAGATACGGTAGGCTGACTGACACCATTCAACCAAACCAGCACAAGACCAATATGGCCCATGTTAGTTGCAATCCATCAGCTGCAACGCGTTAAACGCCGAGGAACTTGAGCTCCAATGCTTATGCAGACCCCGATTATTCACACCAGGTTGGTTAGCACGCAGTCAGCAAGTCACCATGACTACCATTTTCTTCCTCCCCTGGACAGAGAAGCAGGAGACGGCGGAGTCGAGACAAAATTCCTTGGTTTGGGGAGCAGAAGCGCCAGCTTGCCATGCCGTGCTGTAGCGCACACTGCCACAGCACCGACATGCTCACAGCCATGTGGAGCATGCAGGAAGTAGCGAACCAGGGAGGCAAACTCTTTGGGGCATTGTGCGTGTGGCATGTGGCGTGCGTCGTTCACCAGTACCAGCCTTGAGCTGACGCCCAGGTGTCTGAGAGGTTAGAGGGCAGAATTGAGGAAAGACAGGCAGAGTTTAAATAAAGAACAGTTAAGAAAGCTAAGCATGAAATATGCACCAGAAGCATGTAAATAATGAGCCTGCAGGCATGAAGGGCTATTTGTCACACGGACTATGCATAGGGAATTAAAGAGGTCAAAGCATGCAGAGCATCAGACAAATTAACTTATACAAGAAGTGATCTAATGAATGGGGTTTGAGTGGGATGTAAGGGCTTACTGCAAGAGCATTTTCCCGAATGGCAAAGGAGCGATCGGATCCTTCCTTCCACACACGATGAGAACCTCCTGTTGCACACCAGCAACGACAACAAAGACACACACAAAAGGGATTCGCATTCGCTCATAGAAACTACCTGCGAAAAGGAACCAACCAGCCATTATTGTTCAACTTTCCGACAGCCAGACGAAGCACCCATCAGGTAAAGCAACAGCACCAACCAACAACAACCAGCAGCAGCAGCAGCAGCAGCAGCAGCAACAGCAGCAGCAGCAACCAGGCGCCATACCTGCTTCAGCACTGGATTCAGCCACGGATTCAGCTGCCTGTCTCGAATGTACTCGTCCAAGCAGTGCTGCTGCTGGGTGCGGCTGCCAGAAAACAGCACCTTGAGCAGATCCCGGTACAGGAACGCAGGCGCCCAGAATGTGCCTTCAAACGCTGCGTGCTGCGCTTGCCGCAACTCAGCCACAGTTTCCGGTAGCCGCGGGGAAGATGGCGCTGAAAACGAGTCAGGGGTGGGAGTAGAGTCAGCAGCGTCAGCACAAGCAGTAGCAGTGGCAGTGGATAGGCCGTGCTCCATCACACCGTCACTGCTCCGCCTCCGCCTGTTGTCATTGCTGCTCCTGCTGTTGCTGCTGCTGCTGCTGTCGCTGCTGCCGCTGCTAGTGCTGCTGCTGCTGCTGCTTCTGGTATGCGCCGAGTTAGTGCACTTAGGCTGAAGTGTCGCTTCCAGGTCATGCTGAGTCATCATTGTTGTTGGAGACGTGAGAATCACCCTTCGGATGATTCCCGGGTGCTGCGCTGCCATGCGGTATGCAATGCTCGCACCGTAACCAAACCCCAGAACGTCGAACCTGGACAAATTGAGCAGCGGACGCACATACAAGGGGGTGTGAAGATGCGAAGGAGCAAACGGCAGGAAAGGGACGAAGAAAAGAAGCAAGGGACCAGCTAAGAATGGCTGACACAGTGCAGAGTTGAGCTGGCAAGAGAAAGCTGCAGAGCTGTGCAGGGAAATGTTGTCCAAATGTAGGGGTCTTGGGAGGTGTGTGTATTATGTATACCTTGCCAATCCGAGTATTCTTGCCAGCCGCATCATGCAATTGGCTTGGAACTGTATCGAGTACTTTGAGCTCTCATCCCTGCTCCTCTCCTCTTCTCCCACCCTCACCTCCTCCCCGTTCTCTTCCTCCTCGCTCCCCTCCTTGTCCTCCTCCTCCCCTTCTTCCACCTCCACCGACTCTTCCACCTCCCCACTCACTCCGTCCCTCCTCCTCCCTTCCAGTTCTTCACAGTCCTCCACACCAGACTCTCCAAACCACACCAGGTTCGGCACATACAGCTCGAAATCCCGAGACAAGCTCCCAACCAGCTGGTGCCAGTGCACTGTGGCGGCGTCCCCCGCCGAACCACATTTCGACTCTCCCGAATTGTCATGGTTGCGCGCATCGTCTCCACCCCTGCCTCCCTGCTCCCCCTGCTGGTGACCCGGTCCCCCAAACCCGTGCAGCAGCAGCAGCGGCGGGTTGCGCTCCCACCGCGCCTGCTGCTGCGCGCGCCTGCGCGAGGCGGCCGCGGCGGTAGCGGCGGCGGCGGCGGCGGACGCGGGGAGCCAGCAGCGGATGGAGGTAGACGCGTCGAGGTCGATGCGGAGGGGGCGCAGGCCCGCGGAGAGGAAGCGGGATTGCGCGAGGCGGAGGAAGAGTGAAGCGGGGCTCACCGCCGGCCACTGGGGGAGCAAGGGGAGCAAGCGCGGGGTGGAAGGAAGAAAATCATGAGATTAACAAATGGGAACCCCAAAATGCAGACTTTCCAAGTGCAGAAATCAATCAAACAGGCTTTAGAGAGGCAACCTGGAGCAGGAATATAAGGCAGTCAACTCTCCCCCCACCACCCCCCAAAAAAAACATGTCTTCCGAAATGTCCCAGACCCGGGGGCCGGAACATACCGGAGACGCAGGTAGGCGAAAAAAACTCTTCCTGGCGCTGCTGCCGCGGTCACTGCTGCTGCTGCTGCTGTTGTCGCCATTGTCGCTGCTGCTCCCGCTCGACGTGTTGCTTGAAACGCTGCTGCTTCTAGCGAAGCCTTTTCCTCTGGTTATACTGCTTCCCGCGCTACTGCAGCTGTTGGTGCCGACGCTGCTAGTGGTGCTGCTGACACTGATCCTCCGTGTCCCGATCTCTCGACGCTTTCCGTCTTCCGTTGGTTGGTTTCCGTCAAACATTCCGTCGCTGTCGTTCGGCTGCGCGTAGTTGCACACGGATTCGGTCAATGTCGACGCATCTCTGCTGCATCTTCTGTTGGCAAAAATCCCGTCAAAATTCCCGTCAAGCGTTCCGACATCGGCGCTGCTGCGCTCAGCGCATTCCCCGGAGCACATTCCGGCAGGGTCTTCGCGCGGAGAAATGTGCGCCTCGGGGAGAGGAACGAGACGCGTTCTTGAGGAGGCCGAGGGGAGGGACTCGACCTCAGGCAGTTGCGTTGGGTGTGACGCTGGAGGTGACGTGGAGGGTGACGTGGATTCGGGGAGAGACGCCGGGTCCGGTGTGGCATGAGAAGCCGCGGGAGTCGCGGCGAGGAGGAAAGGCGGGGTAAGGGACAATGGTGACGTTGATCTGGACGAGGGTGAGGAGGAAATTGAGGTGGCGCGGGAGGAGGATGACGCGATAGAAGGGGAGGAGAGGGAGGAGGAGGCAGACGGAAAAGAGGAGGACGACGCGGAGGAAGCGGAGGTGGAGAGATCGCGAATCACGAGCGGCTCATTCGATGAACGGTCAGCTGGACGCGAACAAGGAAGGGGATGAGAGAGAATGCGGACAGGAGATTCTTCGGGCAGGAACGCCTCGCGGTGCGGTTTGCCGCTCTGCCGCTTGTTGCGCGCGAACACGGTGAACGGCATCGGTCTGATCCCTTGCGGCGTGCTGCTTCGACGGCCTACACAGATTGGGAATAG